CAGAATAAAGATGTCTCTACAACAGACACATTACAGAATAAGATGTCTGTACACCAGACAGTACAGAATAAAGATGTCTGTACAACAGACACAGAACAGAATAAAGATGTCTGTACACCAGACACAGAACAGAATAAAGATGTCTGTACAACAGACAGAGTACAGAATAAAGATGTCTCTACACCAGACAGTACAGAAGAAAGATGTCTCTACACCAGACACAGTATAGAATAAAGATGTCTCTACACCAGACACTGTACAGAATAAAGATGTCTGTACACCAGACACAGTACAGAATAAAGATGTCTGTACACCAGACAGTACAGAATAAAGATGTCTGTACACCAGGCACAGTATAGAATAAAGATGTCTCTACACCAGACACAGTACAGAATCAAGATGTCTCTACAACAGACACATTACAGAATAAAGATGTCTGTACACCAGACACATTACAGAATCAAGATAAATAACTGCGATGTTAAATATTGGCAAATATCCAAATAAACATGGTTGCTATGTATATAGGATTGTTTTCTCATACTCGAAGTATTTTATAGTATTATTAGAACAACTTATGGTATAAATCCTAACTGTCGAAGAGCAGTTGTACCTGGCACAGAGAAGACCAGGTAAACATACTTTTAACACCCTGTAGTAAAACTGTTACTTGTTTCGCCGCTGAAAAACATCGGCCGACAACTTCAAAAGAATTGCTCAGTAATAAAACGGATTTTGCAAATCAACCACGAACTTCATTACTTTATATTCCTCATCGAAATTCAAACCTGTGTCAGACTTTTAACTTTAATACTTTTCTAATGCCATCAAAACTAATGTCTTCCTTTTTATAGCAGTTTTACAATAAAATAACAGAGTGTTAAAGTATAAAAACACGCACCGACTTCACCTATTAAACAGATAACACAGATACGCTGGACATAGAGACCAAAATTTCGGAAAAAGCGTTGATCGTAGACGTTTGACAAAGGGCCGAACGTAGACAACAAAGGGCCGAACGTAGACGTTGGACAAAGGGCCGAACGTAGACGTTTGACAAAGGGCCGAACGTAGACGTTGGACAAAGGGCCGAACGTAGACGTACAGTTACCGTTATGGCTTATTTTACGCTGTTCTTCGTATTGTCCTGCTTCGCATTATCAAGTAAGTTTTGTTTCCTTATCATTCAATGTTTCGATAGTATTGGAAACATTGGGCGTTTTTTATGTTGTCAAGTAATCAAGAAAAAAGTCCAATAGAAATGTAAAAATATTAAAAAATATAAATTTCTTATTAAATTACACGAATTATTTTCAATTACACAAGGACTACTTTAAACATTGGTAATGATGCATAGAACGTTTAGCAAAATACTGAATCTCAGGTGCGTTTATCTTTCGTGCTGATGGAAATGACATGCCCACTTTTATTCTGTTTGGTTCTCGGTTTCAGCGTATGGCAGGCCAGCGTGTAAATGTAGAAACAAACTTAGTTTGGTGTGCGGTGCTGATGAAAAGACGTACCAGAACGCGTGTTTCGCACGTTGCGCGTGAGTATATTTTGTGTTTATTTTTAGTGTCCTAATCTTTTGGTACATAATCAAATTCAAAGCCATCGTTTGCTTAGAAAGAGGAAATATACCATGTCAAATTAACATTGATTTAGGGGACGATATCGATCCTCTAGTTCATAATCAATATTTCTTAAACCATTACATATTCTTTAAGGAGAAATACATCACAGTTTAAACTATTAGCAGAATCTGACGAATTACCTGATAGACGTAGAGGAGACAAACTGATTAAATATTGGACTCGGACGGAAACGTTTGGACCACCTAATGAAATGATTAGAAATGCGAAGAATAAGGTTTTAGAGAACAATTCAAAACAAACAAAAATACCTATAGGGAATTCGATTTTGACAATATTCGGAATAGACGAAAAGTTTCAAATCAATACTCCTTGCTGCCTTGGCAGTTCTATAAACCTAGAATCAACACCCCTAAGGGATATCTATGGCAACCACAGAAGACATATAAAATGGTTATATACCACACTGATGATTCTAAAATTCCAACATCAGGTAAATTAGGAGTTTTTTCTTGATGAGAATACTTCAATTAGAATGTCTGACTATTGCACTCCTTATTCCTTGGAATTTATAAGTAAAGACTTACTGTTAAGATTAATAGACCAAACTGATAGGGAAGGCCTCCTCTCACATAGTTTCTAGGCACTACGATCTATAGGCACCGAAACAGCTCGAAGTTCGACATTATGTCCCTTACAACTACTCGTAGAGTAGAACTGTATATCCCTCTTTTTTCTCTCATATTTTGGAGTAGTATCATCGAATTAGGGTTTGAATTAAGATTCGACATGTCGGAATCTGTTTGAACGCCAACATAGTGGTCAGGTTATGATATATTACATGTAGGAATAAGACCAGTTCAAATAAGAAAATGTATATAATGCCAAACATAGGTTAGAATTCCCCATTGCTTTGGTACAAGAATCAACCTTGCAACAATTTTTAAAAATTTGAATTTGGAACCCTTTGGACCTTCCTACATCGTCTATGATTGTGTTTATATTTTCCAGGCGTATCCAGATAAAACACCTGGGTTCTTGCAGTGACGGACCAGGCCGCCGACCATGGTGTAGCAAGAGTTCCCCTCCTGTTTGTGGGAGGGACGGAAAGACATACATAAATGAATGTACCTTGAAAAGCGCGTAAGTGTCACTTCTTATAACAAAACATGTTCTAATTGTAAAAAGAATTCAAATATCAACTCTAAAATCTGCCAGACATAATTTGATAATGAATTATGACATCAACGCTGAAATCTACATAATTTGATAATGAATTATGACATCAACGCTGAAATCTACATAATTTGAATTGTTGATGAGTTAAGTCATCAATCTACAAGATATCATTTGTCAATGATTTCTAATATCACCGGTGAAATCTACAAGACATAATTTTTTTTTTTTTTTTTTTTTTTGTATTTGTAAAGTTTTGAAGTTCTAAAATATCCGTGTGTTATGAAGTAAAATGAAAAGGAAGAAAAATGAAATCGTTTTATCGTAATAAACTGTATCTTTAATGCAGTGGTGTTAAAAAGCTTCGAAATGGAAAATGTGGGACCAAGCCGAATATCTGTAAATGTCCCAGTAAACAGTCTCCAGTCTGCGGCAGTGATGGAATCACATATCGCAACATGTGTCACCTTAATTGTGCGTGAGTATCACTCAGGATAAAACGCACGAATTGATTTTACAATAGTAATAATGTTAATGATCAATTGTGTGATTGGCTCAGTTTGTGTTTCGTTACATTTTCTTGATTGAAGTAAAGTTATCAAATTATCTGATGGCCAGACAACACTTTGTATTTGTGCCATGATATATCTGCCTGTTCGTTGTGACGACGGGAAAACCTACTGCAACGAATGCGCAATTAAAGTGAGTGTAAGTACTCCGAAAAACGAACAAGAACCAAACGCACCCTTTTCATATCACAATATGATATACAATGTTTATCATTGAGATCACTACGACGACCGTAAGAAAGCTCGTCATCTCATATAATGATAAGGTACAGGGTATGATACGAGGGCTGATTGATAAGTTATGAGCCTCATATTTAAATGTTTGACTTTTGGGAGATATATTGCATTATTTTTTAACATAATCCCCTTCAATATCTATACACTTTCGCAAGCTATGTTTAAGGGCTCCAATGTCGCTTTTAAAGAGGTCCTTTTCTTGACCGTCAGACAATACTCCACTGTATGTAAGACGTCAGGAAGTAAGTAATTTTTCAATTTTGGAAGTAGATAATTGTCTGATGGAGCGAGATCAGACGAATAAGACGGCTGTCCAATCAATTCAAAGCCACTATTTGTAAAGGTAGCCATGGCAATGACAAACTTGTAAACAGGGGCATTATCTAAGTACAACGTATCTTGTTTGTATACGTACATATCATACCTTGCTTTTAATCTAAGGACTGGCGTAACGAAAGTATCAGATGGAGCGTGCCCGTCACCAACAACACCATGTCCTTGTCCCTTCATCTATCAACCAGTGTGTGGAGACGACGGGAAAACATACAGCAACGAATGCCAAATGAAGTGTTCGTAAGTGTTCCGTTCTGTCTGATACTGGACAGAACCGTTTATTTATAAAAAACTTCATGAAAAGTCAAATAACCGCGAAAACTGTATAATATTTTAAATGATATACTAATCTCATCGAATACGAAGTAAGCTCATTAGAAGTTCTTCCTTTCATATGACAAAGATATGCTTGATTATTATGATAAGTGATAAACTGATCAAGTGTTTTAGATTTTAATTGATTGCGTTTAATTTAAGGAGTGGCGTGACCAAAGTGTCGATGGAGAGTGAAAATTTGTCCCAGGATATATCTGCCCGTGTGTGGAGACGACGGGAAAACATATAGCAACGAATGTGAAATGAATTGTTCGTAATTTTAAATGATATACTGAAAATCTATATATCATCGAATACAAAGTAAGCTCATTAGAAGTTCTTCCTTTCATATGAAAAGATAAACAAAAAAGAAATATGAAGTGATAAATACTGGATCATTGTTTTGTTTGAGAAAGGTGAAAAAGTATATCTCTTATGATCAAAATGATATTCATGTATGAATGGGAGGTAAAATTGAAGAATGTTTTTGAATACCGTTATGTTGCTTTTGAAATTTATTATCGTATATGATAAAGATATGCTTGATTATTATAATAAGTGATAAACTGATAAAGTGTTTTAGATTTTAATTGATTGCGTTTAATCTCAAGGAGTGGCGTGACCAAATTCGTGAAATGATAATTCCATTATTGTCTTCAATACTAAAACCTCAGTTTGAAACGTGCAGTGTCGTGTCATGGCAACATTAGTTCCGCGTTTGTTTCATTTAGTATATTTCACATTCAAGGAGTGGCGTGACCAAACGTGTATTTGTACCATGATATACCTGCCCGTGTGTGGAGACGACGGGAAAACATACAGCAACGAATGCCAAATGAAGTGTTCGTAAGTGTTCCGTTCTGTCTGATACTAGACAGAACCGTTCATTTATCAAAAACTTCATGAAAAGTCAAATAACCGCGAAAACTGTATAATATTTTAAATGATATACTAATCTCATCGAATACGAAGTAAGCTCATTAGAAGTTCTTCCTTTCATATGATAAAGATATGCTTGATTATTATAATAAGTGATAAACTGATCAAGTGTTTTAGATTTTAATTGATTGCGTTTAATCTAAGGAGTGGCGTGACCAAAGTGTCCGATGGAGAGTGCCCGCCAACACCGTGTATTTGTCCCAGGATATATCTGCCCGTGTGTGGAGACGACGGGAAAACATATAGCAACGAATGTGAAATGAATTGTTCGTAAGTATTTCGTATATCTGATATTAGGTAGAACTCTTCATTCATCACATACTTCATAAAATGTCGAAAACAGTGAAAACTGTTCTATATATCAATCAAATAAAACGCTAATCTCACTCATTACGAAGCATGTTTTAATCTTAAAATATATTTAAATGACGTCAATATCATATCGACGAAAGTGGTCCAATGTCACAACAGTGATGTTTCGCCAATTGAACTCCATGATGAAATCAGATTGAACAAAAAAGAAACTTCGGTACTGGATATGATCAGTGTTAAGTTGATGAAAAGTCTAGATTTGGACAGATACTGGATCATTGTTTTGTTTGAGAAAGGTGAAAAAGTAATCATACCTTATTGAAATCTCAAAATGATATTCATGTATGAATGGGAGGTAAAATTGAAGAATGTTTTTGAAACCGTTATGTTGCTTTTGAAATTTATTATCGTATGAAGACGTTGAGTGTTGAAACTGAACATAACTTTACCAGTATGGTTTTCCTCTGGTGATCTCAAAGGATTGTACAAAAGATACACGAGGAAATAGTACATTTCAATACAAATTTGGGATCAGATACAACATAGCCTGAAGTGAATTAAATCGCATCATACATGTGTGTTATCTTTTACGGCTAATTGGTGACTATGGGTCTAACTTGTGTACATTTAGGAGGCGTCTGACGGAAATCCAGATTGGTCGAATCACTGTCAAAATATCGACGAGTAGGCAATAAACCCCAAATTTTATAAATGTGCATAGTGAATGGATGTGAGTGAATATATCTGGTACATATGTTTTCTATAAACTGGGCCACTTTCAAGTTCAATCGTGGCATGCTTTAATATGTTATATTACAGACAAATGATATGACAAAAGCACTAGACGATTCATTCGTGAAATGATAATTCCATTATTGTCTTCAATACTAAAACCTCAGTTTGAAACGTTAGCAGATGTCGTGTCTGTATGGCAACATTAGTTCCGCGTTTGTTTCATTTAGTATATTTCACATTCAAGGAGTGGCGTGACCAAAGTGTCCGATGGAGAGTGCCCGTGTATTTGTACCATGATATACCTGCCCGTGTGTGGAGACGACGGGAAAACATACAGCAACGAATGCCAAATGAAGTGTTCGTAAGTGTTCCGTTCTGTCTGATACTAGACAGAACCGTTCATTTATCAAAAACTTCATGAAAAGTCAAATAACCGCGAAAACTGTATAATATTTTAAATGATATACTAATCTCATCGAATACAAAGTAAGCTCATTAGAAGTTCTTCCTTTCATATGATAAAGATATGCTTGATTATTATAATAAGTGATAAACTGATCAAGTGTTTTAGATTTTAATTGATTGCGTTTAATCTAAGGAGTGGCGTGACCAAAGTGTCCGATGGAGAGTGCCCGCCAACACCGTGTATTTGTCCCAGGATATATCTGCCCGTGTGTGGAGACGACGGGAAAACATATAGCAACGAATGTGAAATGAATTGTTCGTAAGTATTTCGTATATCTGATATTAGGTAGAACTCTTCATTCATCACATACTTCATAAAATGTCGAAAACAGTGAAAACTGTTCTATATATCAATCAAATAAAACGCTAATCTCACTCATTACGAAGCATGTTTTAATCTTAAAATATATTTAAATGACGTCAATATCATATCGACGAAAGTGGTCCAATGTCACAACAGTGATGTTTCGCCAATTGAACTCCATGATGAAATCAGATTGAACAAAAAAGAAACTTCGGTACTGGATATGATCAGTGTTAAGTTGATGAAAATTCTAGATTTGGACAGATACTGGATCATTGTTTTGTTTGAGAAAGGTGAAAAAGTAATCATACCTTATTGAAATCTCAAAATGATATTCATGTATGAATGGGAGGTAAAATTGAAGAATGTTTTTGAAACCGTTATGTTGCTTTTGAAATTTATTATCGTATGAAGACGTTGAGTGTTGAAACTGAACATAACTTTACCAGTATGGTTTTCCTCTGGTGATCTCAAAGGATTGTACAAAAGATACACGAGGAAATAGTACATTTCAATACAAATTTGGGATCAGATACAACATAGCCTGAAGTGAATTAAATCGCATCATACATGTGTGTTATCTTTTACGGCTAATTGGTGACTATGGGTCTAACTTGTGTACATTTAGGAGGCGTCTGACGGAAATCCAGATTGGTCGAATCACTGTCAAAATATCGACGAGTAGGCAATAAACCCCAAATTTTATAAATGTGCATAGTGAATGGATGTGAGTGAATATATCTGGTACATATGTTTTCTATAAACTGGGCCACTTCAAGTTCAATCGTGGCATGCTTTAATATGTTATATTACAGACAAATGATATGACAAAAGCACTAGACGATTCATTCGTGAAATGATAATTCCATTATTGTCTTCAATACTAAAACCTCAGTTTGAAACGTTAGCAGATGTCGTGTCTGTATGGCAACATTAGTTCCGCGTTTGTTTCATTTAGTATATTTCACATTCAAGGAGTGGCGTGACCAAAGTGTCCGATGGAGAGTGCCCGTGTATTTGTACCATGATATACCTGCCCGTGTGTGGAGACGACGGGAAAACATACAGCAACGAATGCCAAATGAAGTGTTCGTAAGTGTTCCGTTCTGTCTGATACTAGACAGAACCGTTCATTTATCAAAAACTTCATGAAAAGTCAAATAACCGCGAAAACTGTATAATATTTTAAATGATATACTAATCTCATCGAATACAAAGTAAGCTCATTAGAAGTTCTTCCTTTCATATGATAAAGATATGCTTGATTATTATAATAAGTGATAAACTGATCAAGTGTTTTAGATTTTAATTGATTGCGTTTAATCTAAGGAGTGGCGTGACCAAAGTGTCCGATGGAGAGTGCCCGCCAACACCGTGTATTTGTCCCAGGATATATCTGCCCGTGTGTGGAGACGACGGGAAAACATATAGCAACGAATGTGAAATGAATTGTTCGTAAGTATTTCGTATATCTGATATTAGGTAGAACTCTTCATTCATCACATACTTCATAAAATGTCGAAAACAGTGAAAACTGTTCTATATATCAATCAAATAAAACGCTAATCTCACTCATTACGAAGCATGTTTTAATCTTAAAATATATTTAAATGACGTCAATATCATATCGACGAAAGTGGTCCAATGTCACAACAGTGATGTTTCGCCAATTGAACTCCATGATGAAATCAGATTGAACAAAAAAGAAACTTCGGTACTGGATATGATCAGTGTTAAGTTGATGAAAATTCTAGATTTGGACAGATACTGGATCATTGTTTTGTTTGAGAAAGGTGAAAAAGTAATCATACCTTATTGAAATCTCAAAATGATATTCATGTATGAATGGGAGGTAAAATTGAAGAATGTTTTTGAAACCGTTATGTTGCTTTTGAAATTTATTATCGTATGAAGACGTTGAGTGTTGAAACTGAACATAACTTTACCAGTATGGTTTTCCTCTGGTGATCTCAAAGGATTGTACAAAAGATACACGAGGAAATAGTACATTTCAATACAAATTTGGGATCAGATACAACATAGCCTGAAGTGAATTAAATCGCATCATACATGTGTGTTATCTTTTACGGCTAATTGGTGACTATGGGTCTAACTTGTGTACATTTAGGAGGCGTCTGACGGAAATCCAGATTGGTCGAATCACTGTCAAAATATCGACGAGTAGGCAATAAACCCCAAATTTTATAAATGTGCATAGTGAATGGATGTGAGTGAATATATCTGGTACATATGTTTTCTATGAACTGGGCCACTTCAAGTTCAATCGTGGCATGCTTTAATATGTTATATTACAGACAAATGATATGACAAAAGCACTAGACGATTCATTCGTGAAATGATAATTCCATTATTGTCTTCAATACTAAAACCTCAGTTTGAAACGTTAGCAGATGTCGTGTCTGTATGGCAACATTAGTTCCGCGTTTGTTTCATTTAGTATATTTCACATTCAAGGAGTGGCGTGACCAAAGTGTCCGATGGAGAGTGCCCGTGTATTTGTACCATGATATACCTGCCCGTGTGTGGAGACGACGGGAAAACATACAGCAACGAATGCCAAATGAAGTGTTCGTAAGTGTTCCGTTCTGTCTGATACTAGACAGAACCGTTCATTTATCAAAAACTTCATGAAAAGTCAAATAACCGCGAAAACTGTATAATATTTTAAATGATATACTAATCTCATCGAATACAAAGTAAGCTCATTAGAAGTTCTTCCTTTCATATGATAAAGATATGCTTGATTATTATAATAAGTGATAAACTGATCAAGTGTTTTAGATTTTAATTGATTGCGTTTAATCTAAGGAGTGGCGTGACCAAAGTGTCCGATGGAGAGTGCCCGCCAACACCGTGTATTTGTCCCAGGATATATCTGCCCGTGTGTGGAGACGACGGGAAAACATATAGCAACGAATGTGAAATGAATTGTTCGTAAGTATTTCGTATATCTGATATTAGGTAGAACTCTTCATTCATCACATACTTCATAAAATGTCGAAAACAGTGAAAACTGTTCTATATATCAATCAAATAAAACGCTAATCTCACTCATTACGAAGCATGTTTTAATCTTAAAATATATTTAAATGACGTCAATATCATATCGACGAAAGTGGTCCAATGTCACAACAGTGATGTTTCGCCAATTGAACTCCATGATGAAATCAGATTGAACAAAAAAGAAACTTCGGTACTGGATATGATCAGTGTTAAGTTGATGAAAATGTCTAGATTTGGACAGATACTGGATCATTGTTTTGTTTGAGAAAGGTGAAAAAGTAATCATACCTTATTGAAATCTCAAAATGATATTCATGTATGAATGGGAGGTAAAATTGAAGAATGTTTTTGAAACCGTTATGTTGCTTTTGAAATTTATTATCGTATGAAGACGTTGAGTGTTGAAACTGAACATAACTTTACCAGTATGGTTTTCCTCTGGTGATCTCAAAGGATTGTACAAAAGATACACGAGGAAATAGTACATTTCAATACAAATTTGGGATCAGATACAACATAGCCTGAAGTGAATTAAATCGCATCATACATGTGTGTTATCTTTTACGGCTAATTGGTGACTATGGGTCTAACTTGTGTACATTTAGGAGGCGTCTGACGGAAATCCAGATTGGTCGAATCACTGTCAAAATATCGACGAGTAGGCAATAAACCCCAAATTTTATAAATGTGCATAGTGAATGGATGTGAGTGAATATATCTGGTACATATGTTTTCTATGAACTGGGCCACTTCAAGTTCAATCGTGGCATGCTTTAATATGTTATATTACAGACAAATGATATGACAAAAGCACTAGACGATTCATTCGTGAAATGATAATTCCATTATTGTCTTCAATACTAAAACCTCAGTTTGAAACGTTAGCAGATGTCGTGTCTGTATGGCAACATTAGTTCCGCGTTTGTTTCATTTAGTATATTTCACATTCAAGGAGTGGCGTGACCAAAGTGTCCGATGGAGAGTGCCCGTGTATTTGTACCATGATATACCTGCCCGTGTGTGGAGACGACGGGAAAACATACAGCAACGAATGCCAAATGAAGTGTTCGTAAGTGTTCCGTTCTGTCTGATACTAGACAGAACCGTTCATTTATCAAAAACTTCATGAAAAGTCAAATAACCGCGAAAACTGTATAATATTTTAAATGATATACTAATCTCATCGAATACAAAGTAAGCTCATTAGAAGTTCTTCCTTTCATATGATAAAGATATGCTTGATTATTATAATAAGTGATAAACTGATCAAGTGTTTTAGATTTTAATTGATTGCGTTTAATCTAAGGAGTGGCGTGACCAAAGTGTCCGATGGAGAGTGCCCGCCAACACCGTGTATTTGTCCCAGGATATATCTGCCCGTGTGTGGAGACGACGGGAAAACATATAGCAACGAATGTGAAATGAATTGTTCGTAAGTATTTCGTATATCTGATATTAGGTAGAACTCTTCATTCATCACATACTTCATAAAATGTCGAAAACAGTGAAAACTGTTCTATATATCAATCAAATAAAACGCTAATCTCACTCATTACGAAGCATGTTTTAATCTTAAAATATATTTAAATGACGTCAATATCATATCGACGAAAGTGGTCCAATGTCACAACAGTGATGTTTCGCCAATTGAACTCCATGATGAAATCAGATTGAACAAAAAAGAAACTTCGGTACTGGATATGATCAGTGTTAAGTTGATGAAAATTCTAGATTTGGACAGATACTGGATCATTGTTTTGTTTGAGAAAGGTGAAAAAGTAATCATACCTTATTGAAATCTCAAAATGATATTCATGTATGAATGGGAGGTAAAATTGAAGAATGTTTTTGAAACCGTTATGTTGCTTTTGAAATTTATTATCGTATGAAGACGTTGAGTGTTGAAACTGAACATAACTTTACCAGTATGGTTTTCCTCTGGTGATCTCAAAGGATTGTACAAAAGATACACGAGGAAATAGTACATTTCAATACAAATTTGGGATCAGATACAACATAGCCTGAAGTGAATTAAATCGCATCATACATGTGTGTTATCTTTTACGGCTAATTGGTGACTATGGGTCTAACTTGTGTACATTTAGGAGGCGTCTGACGGAAATCCAGATTGGTCGAATCACTGTCAAAATATCGACGAGTAGGCAATAAACCCCAAATTTTATAAATGTGCATAGTGAATGGATGTGAGTGAATATATCTGGTACATATGTTTTCTATGAACTGGGCCACTTCAAGTTCAATCGTGGCATGCTTTAATATGTTATATTACAGACAAATGATATGACAGAAGCACTAGACGATTCATTCGTGAAATGATAATTCCATTATTAACATTAGTTCCGCGTTTGTTTCATTTAGTATATTTCACATTCAAGGAGTGGCGTGACCAAAGTGTCCGATGGAGAGTGCCCGTGTATTTGTACCATGATATACCTGCCCGTGTGTGGAGACGACGGGAAAACATACAGCAACGAATGCCAAATGAAGTGTTCGTAAGTGTTCCGTTCTGTCTGATACTAGACAGAACCGTTCATTTATCAAAAACTTCATGAAAAGTCAAATAACCGCGAAAACTGTATAATATTTTAAATGATATACTAATCTCATCGAATACAAAGTAAGCTCATTAGAAGTTCTTCCTTTCATATGATAAAGATATGCTTGATTATTATAATAAGTGATAAACTGATCAAGTGTTTTAGATTTTAATTGATTGCGTTTAATCTAAGGAGTGGCGTGACCAAAGTGTCCGATGGAGAGTGCCCGCCAACACCGTGTATTTGTCCCAGGATATATCTGCCCGTGTGTGGAGACGACGGGAAAACATATAGCAACGAATGTGAAATGAATTGTTCGTAAGTATTTCGTATATCTGATATTAGGTAGAACTCTTCATTCATCACATACTTCATAAAATGTCGAAAACAGTGAAAACTGTTCTATATATCAATCAAATAAAACGCTAATCTCACTCATTACGAAGCATGTTTTAATCTTAAAATATATTTAAATGACGTCAATATCATATCGACGAAAGTGGTCCAATGTCACAACAGTGATGTTTCGCCAATTGAACTCCATGATGAAATCAGATTGAACAAAAAAGAAACTTCGGTACTGGATATGATCAGTGTTAAGTTGATGAAAATGTCTAGATTTGGACAGATACTGGATCATTGTTTTGTTTGAGAAAGGTGAAAAAGTAATCATACCTTATTGAAATCTCAAAATGATATTCATGTATGAATGGGAGGTAAAATTGAAGAATGTTTTTGAAACCGTTATGTTGCTTTTGAAATTTATTATCGTATGAAGACGTTGAGTGTTGAAACTGAACATAACTTTACCAGTATGGTTTTCCTCTGGTGATCTCAAAGGATTGTACAAAAGATACACGAGGAAATAGTACATTTCAATACAAATTTGGGATCAGATACAACATAGCCTGAAGTGAATTAAATCGCATCATACATGTGTGTTATCTTTTACGGCTAATTGGTGACTATGGGTCTAACTTGTGTACATTTAGGAGGCGTCTGACGGAAATCCAGATTGGTCGAATCACTGTCAAAATATCGACGAGTAGGCAATAAACCCCAAATTTTATAAATGTGCATAGTGAATGGATGTGAGTGAATATATCTGGTACATATGTTTTCTATAAACTGGGCCACTTCAAGTTCAATCGTGGCATGCTTTAATATGTTATATTACAGACAAATGATATGACAAAAGCACTAGACGATTCATTCGTGAAATGATAATTCCATTATTGTCTTCAATACTAAAACCTCAGTTTGAAACGTTAGCAGATGTCGTGTCTGTATGGCAACATTAGTTCCGCGTTTGTTTCATTTAGTATATTTCACATTCAAGGAGTGGCGTGACCAAAGTGTCCGATGGAGAGTGCCCGTGTATTTGTACCATGATATACCTGCCCGTGTGTGGAGACGACGGGAAAACATACAGCAACGAATGCCAAATGAAGTGTTCGTAAGTGTTCCGTTCTGTCTGATACTAGACAGAACCGTTCATTTATCAAAAACTTCATGAAAAGTCAAATAACCGCGAAAACTGTATAATATTTTAAATGATATACTAATCTCATCGAATACAAAGTAAGCTCATTAGAAGTTCTTCCTTTCATATGATAAAGATATGCTTGATTATTATAATAAGTGATAAACTGATCAAGTGTTTTAGATTTTAATTGATTGCGTTTAATCTAAGGAGTGGCGTGACCAAAGTGTCCGATGGAGAGTGCCCGCCAACACCGTGTATTTGTCCCAGGATATATCTGCCCGTGTGTGGAGACGACGGGAAATCATATAGCAACGAATGTGAAATGAATTGTTCGTAAGTATTTCGTATATCTGATATTAGGTAGAACTCTTCATTCATCACATACTTCATAAAATGTCGAAAACAGTGAAAACTGTTCTATATATCAATCAAATAAAACGCTAATCTCACTCATTACGAAGCATGTTTTAATCTTAAAATATATTTAAATGACGTCAATATCATATCGACGAAAGTGGTCCAATGTCACAACAGTGATGTTTCGCCAATTGAACTCCATGATGAAATCAGATTGAACAAAAAAGAAACTTCGGTACTGGATATGATCAGTGTTAAGTTGATGAAAATTCTAGATTTGGACAGATACTGGATCATTGTTTTGTTTGAGAAAGGTGAAAAAGTAATCATACCTTATTGAAATCTCAAAATGATATTCATGTATGAATGGGAGGTAAAATTGAAGAATGTTTTTGAAACCGTTATGTTGCTTTTGAAATTTATTATCGTATGAAGACGTTGAGTGTTGAAACTGAACATAACTTTACCAGTATGGTTTTCCTCTGGTGATCTCAAAGGATTGTACAAAAGATACACGAGGAAATAGTACATTTCAATACAAATTTGGGATCAGATACAACATAGCCTGAAGTGAATTAAATCGCATCATACATGTGTGTTATCTTTTACGGCTAATTGGTGACTATGGGTCTAACTTGTGTACATTTAGGAGGCGTCTGACGGAAATCCAGATTGGTCGAATCACTGTCAAAATATCGACGAGTAGGCAATAAACCCCAAATTTTATAAATGTGCATAGTGAATGGATGTGAGTGAATATATCTGGTACATATGTTTTCTATGAACTGGGCCACTTCAAGTTCAATCGTGGCATGCTTTAATATGTTATATTACAGACAAATGATATGACAAAAGCACTAGACGATTCATTCGTGAAATGATAATTCCATTATTGTCTTCAATACTAAAACCTCAGTTTGAAACGTTAGCAGATGTCGTGTCTGTATGGCAACATTAGTTCCGCGTTTGTTTCATTTAGTATATTTCACATTCAAGGAGTGGCGTGACCAAAGTGTCCGATGGAGAGTGCCCGTGTATTTGTACCATGATATACCTGCCCGTGTGTGGAGACGACGGGAAAACATACAGCAACGAATGCCAAATGAAGTGTTCGTAAGTGTTCCGTTCTGTCTGATACTAGACAGAACCGTTCATTTATCAAAAACTTCATGAAAAGTCAAATAACCGCGAAAACTGTATAATATTTTAAATGATATACTAATCTCATCGAATACAAAGTAAGCTCATTAGAAGTTCTTCCTTTCATATGATAAAGATATGCTTGATTATTATAATAAGTGATAAACTGATCAAGTGTTTTAGATTTTAATTGATTGCGTTTAATCTAAGGAGTGGCGTGACCAAAGTGTCCGATGGAGAGTGCCCGCCAACACCGTGTATTTGTCCCAGGATATATCTGCCCGTGTGTGGAGACGACGGGAAAACATATAGCAACGAATGTGAAATGAATTGTTCGTAAGTATTTCGTATATCTGATATTAGGTAGAACTCTTCATTCATCACATACTTCATAAAATGTCGAAAACAGTGAAAACTGTTCTATATATCAATCAAATAAAACGCTAATCTCACTCATTACGAAGCATGTTTTAATCTTAAAATATATTTAAATGACGTCAATATCATATCGACGAAAGTGGTCCAATGTCACAACAGTGATGTTTCGCCAATTGAACTCCATGATGAAATCAGATTGAACAAAAAAGAAACTTCGGTACTGGATATGATCAGTGTTAAGTTGATGAAAAGTCTAGATTTGGACAGATACTGGATCATTGTTTTGTTTGAGAAAGGTGAAAAAGTAATCATACCTTATTGAAATCTCAAAATGATATTCATGTATGAATGGGAGGTAAAATTGAAGAATGTTTTTGAAACCGTTATGTTGCTTTTGAAATTTATTATCGTATGAAGACGTTGAGTGTTGAAACTGAACATAACTTTACCAGTATGGTTTTCCTCTGGTGATCTCAAAGGATTGTACAAAAGATACACGAGGAAATAGTACATTTCAATACAAATTTGGGATCAGATACAACATAGCCTGAAGTGAATTAAATCGCATCATACATGTGTGTTATCTTTTACGGCTAATTGGTGACTATGGGTCTAACTTGTGTACATTTAGGAGGCGTCTGACGGAAATCCAGATTGGTCGAATCACTGTCAAAATATCGACGAGTAGGCAATAAACCCCAAATTTTATAAATGTGCATAGTGAATGGATGTGAGTGAATATATCTGGTACATATGTTTTCTATGAACTGGGCCACTTCAAGTTCAATCGTGGCATGCTTTAATATGTTATATTACAGACAAATGATATGACAAAAGCACTAGACGATTCATTCGTGAAATGATAATTCCATTATTGTCTTCAATACTAAAACCTCAGTTTGAAACGTTAGCAGATGTCGTGTCTGTATGGCAACATTAGTTCCGCGTTTGTTTCATTTAGTATATTTCACATTCAAGGAGTGGCGTGACCAAAGTGTCCGATGGAGAGTGCCCGTGTATTTGTACCATGATATACCTGCCCGTGTGTGGAGACGACGGGAAAACATACAGCAACGAATGCCAAATGAAGTGTTCGTAAGTGTTCCGTTCTGTCTGATACTAGACAGAACCGTTCATTTATCAAAAACTTCATGAAAAGTCAAATAACCGCGAAAACTGTATAATATTTTAAATGATATACTAATCTCATCGAATACAAAGTAAGCTCATTAGAAGTTCTTCCTTTCATATGATAAAGATATGCTTGATTATTATAATAAGTGATAAACTGATCAAGTGTTTTAGATTTTAATTGATTGCGTTTAATCTAAGGAGTGGCGTGACCAAAGTGTCCGATGGAGAGTGCCCGCCAACACCGTGTATTTGTCCCAGGATATATCTGCCCGTGTGTGGAGACGACGGGAAAACATATAGCAACGAATGTGAAATGAATTGTTCGTAAGTATTTCGTATATCTGATATTAGGTAGAACTCTTCATTCATCACATACTTCATAAAATGTCGAAAACAGTGAAAACTGTTCTATATATCAATCAAATAAAACGCTAATCTCACTCATTACGAAGCATGTTTTAATCTTAAAATATATTTAAATGACGTCAATATCATATCGACGAAAGTGGTCCAATGTCACAACAGTGATGTTTCGCCAATTGAACTCCATGATGAAATCAGATTGAACAAAAAAGAAACTTCGGTACTGGATATGATCAGTGTTAAGTTGATGAAAAGTCTAGATTTGGACAGATACTGGATCATTGTTTTGTTTGAGAAAGGTGAAAAAGTAATCATACCTTATTGAAATCTCAAAATGATATTCATGTATGAATGGGAGGTAAAATTGAAGAATGTTTTTGAAACCGTTATGTTGCTTTTGAAATTTATTATCGTATGAAGACGTTGAGTGTTGAAACTGAACATAACTTTACCAGTATGGTTTTCCTCTGGTGATCTCAAAGGATTGTACAAAAGATACACGAGGAAATAGTACATTTCAATACAAATTTGGGATCAGATACAACATAGCCTGAAGTGAATTAAATCGCATCATACATGTGTGTTATCTTTTACGGCTAATTGGTGACTATGGGTCTAACTTGTGTACATTTAGGAGGCGTCTGACGGAAATCCAGATTGGTCGAATCACTGTCAAAATATCGACGAGTAGGCAATAAACCCCAAATTTTATAAATGTGCATAGTGAATGGATGTGAGTGAATATATCTGGTACATATGTTTTCTATGAACTGGGCCACTTCAAGTTCAATCGTGGCATGCTTTAATATGTTATATTACAGACAAATGATATGACAAAAGCACTAGACGATTCATTCGTGAAATGATAATTCCATTATTGTCTTCAATACTAAAACCTCAGTTTGAAACGTTAGCAGATGTCGTGTCTGTATGGCAACATTAGTTCCGCGTTTGTTTCATTTAGTATATTTCACATTCAAGGAGTGGCGTGACCAAAGTGTCCGATGGAGAGTGCCCGTGTATTTGTACCATGATATACCTGCCCGTGTGTGGAGACGACGGGAAAACATACAGCAACGAATGCCAAATGAAGTGTTCGTAAGTGTTCCGTTCTGTCTGATACTAGACAGAACCGTTCATTTATCAAAAACTTCATGAAAAGTCAAATAACCGCGAAAACTGTATAATATTTTAAATGATATACTAATCTCATCGAATACAAAGTAAGCTCATTAGAAGTTCTTCCTTTCATATGATAAAGATATGCTTGATTATTATAATAAGTGATAAACTGATCAAGTGTTTTAGATTTTAATTGATTGCGTTTAATCTAAGGAGTGGCGTGACCAAAGTGTCCGATGGAGAGTGCCCGCCAACACCGTGTATTTGTCCCAGGATATATCTGCCCGTGTGTGGAGACGACGGGAAACATAACATATAGCAACGAATGTGAAATGAATTGTTCGTAAGTATTTCGTATATCTGATATTAGGTAGAACTCTTCATTCATCACATACTTCATAAAATGTCGAAAACAGTGAAAACTGTTCTATATATCAATCAAATAAAACGCTAATCTCACTCATTACGAAGCATGTTTTAATCTTAAAATATATTTAAATGACGTCAATATCATATCGACGAAAGTGGTCCAATGTCACAACAGTGATGTTTCGCCAATTGAACTCCATGATGAAATCAGATTGAACAAAAAAGAAACTTCGGTACTGGATATGATCAGTGTTAAGTTGATGAAAAGTCTAGATTTGGACAGATACTGGATCATTGTTTTGTTTGAGAAAGGTGAAAAAGTAATCATACCTTATTGAAATCTCAAAATGATATTCATGTATGAATGGGAGGTAAAATTGAAGAATGTTTTTGAAACCGTTATGTTGCTTTTGAAATTTATTATCGTATGAAGACGTTGAGTGTTGAAACTGAACATAACTTTACCAGTATGGTTTTCCTCTGGTGATCTCAAAGGATTGTACAAAAGATACACGAGGAAATAGTACATTTCAATACAAATTTGGGATCAGATACAACATAGCCTGAAGTGAATTAAATCGCATCATACATGTGTGTTATCTTTTACGGCTAATTGGTGACTATGGGTCTAACTTGTGTACATTTAGGAGGCGTGTCTTACCCATATTAAGTACGATGAAATCCAGAGAAAACACCAAGTACAACAAAGTCAAATACAAGCAAAATTTACGAATAATGTAAACACAAGTAAAATAATATATAAATCATCAAAATCTTAATTAAGTCTGGGAAGACAACAATACTGCATAGGAATATAATTAAAGCAATCTCACACAAATTCTACACAAAAATCAACAAAAATGTTAGTAATTTAACATGAAACACGGAATAATCAATCACAAACTCACAAACCCTATCATACACGTCATATGTCAACAAATGTCTGGATGGAAAGAAAAAGGAAAAAGAACACAGCAAGATATAAGGATACCAATAGAATCAACTTAATGCTAGAGGAGGATATCACACTGAGAGTAATTTATGCAAAAAACAAAAACATAAGTATGCTCCAAAAATAATGCAGGGCACAAAAATAATGTGAAAACACCACAAATGCCAATCACCAGTAAATAAATACCAATAGAGTAAATAAATAATTAAATCAATACTAGTATTGCAATAAATCAAATCTGGTATGAAAAAGAAATACTCATTCACTGGAAATTACAAAATGTAAACAAGCACTTTGCTAACCGGAACAGGAAAAAGATAAACCGGATGTGGGCACAGGGGTCAAGGTAATTCCCCACAAACGGTAATATTATGCACTCTCTTTGTAAGAACTAGATTTTCTTCAAAAAAAACAAATACATTATAAGTTCAACTACAAATACACATGCAAAACAAATACTTATAATAATAATAATAAAGTCTATAAAATGTCACAGCAAGAAATCTTTATATTGAAATTGTCCGTTCACTGGGTGGTGATAACGTTAGCAGATGTCGTGTCTGTATGGCAACATTAGTTCCGCGTTTGTTTCATTTAGTATATTTCACATTCAAGGAGTGGCGTGACCAAAGTCGATGGAGAGTGCCCGTGTATTTGTACCATGATATACCTGCCCGTGTGTGGAGACGACGGGAAAACATACAGCAACGAATGCCAAATGAAGTGTTCGTAAGTGTTCCGTTCTGTCTGATACTAGACAGAACCGTTCATTTATCAAAAACTTCATGAAAAGTCAAATAACCGCGAAAACTGTATAATATTTTAAATGATATACTAATCTCATCGAATACAAAGTAAGCTCATTAGAAGTTCTTCCTTTCATATGATAAAGATATGCTTGATTATTATAATAAGTGATAAACTGATCAAGTGTTTTAGATTTTAATTGATTGCGTTTAATCTAAGGAGTGGCGTGACCAAAGTGTCCGATGGAGAGTGCCCGCCAACACCGTGTATTTGTCCCAGGATATATCTGCCCGTGTGTGGAGACGACGGGAAAACATATAGCAACGAATGTGAAATGAATTGTTCGTAAGTATTTCGTATATCTGATATTAGGTAGAACTCTTCATTCATCACATACTTCATAAAATGTCGAAAACAGTGAAAACTGTTCTATATATCAATCAAATAAAACGCTAATCTCACTCATTACGAAGCATGTTTTAATCTTAAAATATATTTAAATGACGTCAATATCATATCGACGAAAGTGGTCCAATGTCACAACAGTGATGTTTCGCCAATTGAACTCCATGATGAAATCAGATTGAACAAAAAAGAAACTTCGGTACTGGATATGATCAGTGTTAAGTTGATGAAAAGTCTAGATTTGGACAGATACTGGATCATTGTTTTGTTTGAGAAAGGTGAAAAAGTAATCATACCTTATTGAAATCAAAATGATATTCATGTATGAATGGGAGGTAAAATTGAAGAATGTTTTTGAAACCGTTATGTTGCTTTTGAAATTTATTATCGTATGAAGACGTTGAGTGTTGAAACTGAACATAACTTTACCAGTATGGTTTTCCTCTGCTGATCTCAAAGGATTGTACAAAAGATACACGAGGAAATAGTACATTTCAATACAAATTTGGGATCAGATACAACATAGCCTAAAGTGAATTAAATCGCATCATACATGTGTGTTATCTTTTACGGCTAATTGGTGACTATGGGTCTAACTTGTGTACATTTAGGAGGCGTCTGACGGAAATCCAGATTGGTCGAATCACTGTCAAAATATCGACGAGTAGGCAATAAACCCCAAATTTTATAAATGTGCATAGTGAATGGATGTGAGTGAATATATCTGGTACATATGTTTTCTATGAACTGGGCCACTTTAAGTTCAATCGTGGCATGCTTGATTATGTTATATTACAGACAAATGATATGACAGAAGCACTAGACGATTCATTCGTGAAATGATAATTCCATTATTGTCTTCAATACTAAAACCTCAGTTTGAAACGTTAGCAGATGTCGTGTCTGTATGGCAACATTAGTTCCGCGTTTGTTTCATTTAGTATATTTCACATTCAAGGAGTGGCGTGACCAAAGTGTCCGATGGAGAGTGCCCGTGTATTTGTACCATGATATACCTGCCCGTGTGTGGAGACGACGGGAAAACATACAGCAACGAATGCCAAATGAAGTGTTCGTAAGTGTTCCGTTCTGTCTGATACTAGACAGAACCGTTCATTTATCAAAAACTTCATGAAAAGTCAAATAACCGCGAAAACTGTATAATATTTTAAATGATATACTAATCTCATCGAATACAAAGTAAGCTCATTAGAAGTTCTTCCTTTCATATGATAAAGATATGCTTGATTATTATAATAAGTGATAAACTGATCAAGTGTTTTAGATTTTAATTGATTGCGTTTAATCTAAGGAGTGGCGTGACCAAAGTGTCCGATGGAGAGTGCCCGCCAACACCGTGTATTTGTCCCAGGATATATCTGCCCGTGTGTGGAGACGACGGGAAAACATATAGCAACGAATGTGAAATGAATTGTTCGTAAGTATTTCGTATATCTGATATTAGGTAGAACTCTTCATTCATCACATACTTCATAAAATGTCGAAAACAGTGAAAACTGTTCTATATATCAATCAAATAAAACGCTAATCTCACTCATTACGAAGCATGTTTTAATCTTAAAATATATTTAAATGACGTCAATATCATATCGACGAAAGTGGTCCAATGTCACAACAGTGATGTTTCGCCAATTGAACTCCATGATGAAATCAGATTGAACAAAAAAGAAACTTCGGTACTGGATATGATCAGTGTTAAGTTGATGAAAAGTCTAGATTTGGACAGATACTGGATCATTGTTTTGTTTGAGAAAGGTGAAAAAGTAATCATACCTTATTGAAATCTCAAAATGATATTCATGTATGAATGGGAGGTAAAATTGAAGAATGTTTTTGAAACCGTTATGTTGCTTTTGAAATTTATTATCGTATGAAGACGTTGAGTGTTGAAACTGAACATAACTTTACCAGTATGGTTTTCCTCTGCTGATCTCAAAGGATTGTACAAAAGATACACGAGGAAATAGTACATTTCAATACAAATTTGGGATCAGATACAACATAGCCTAAAGTGAATTAAATCGCATCATACATGTGTGTTATCTTTTACGGCTAATTGGTGACTATGGGTCTAACTTGTGTACATTTAGGAGGCGTCTGACGGAAATCCAGATTGGTCGAATCACTGTCAAAATATCGACGAGTAGGCAATAAACCCCAAATTTTATAAATGTGCATAGTGAATGGATGTGAGTGAATATATCTGGTACATATGTTTTCTATAAACTGGGCCACTTTAAGTTCAATCGTGGCATGCTTGATTATGTTATATTACAAATGATATGACAGAAGCACTAGACGATTCATTCGTGAAATGATAATTCCATTATTGTCTTCAATACTAAAACCTCAGTTTGAAACGTTAGCAGATGTCGTGTCTGTATGGCAACATTAGTTCCGCGTTTGTTTCATTTAGTATATTTCACATTCAAGGAGTGGCGTGACCAAAGTGTCCGATGGAGAGTGCCCGTGTATTTGTACCATGATATACCTGCCCGTGTGTGGAGACGACGGGAAAACATACAGCAACGAATGCCAAATGAAGTGTTCGTAAGTGTTCCGTTCTGTCTGATACTAGACAGAACCGTTCATTTATCAAAAACTTCATGAAAAGTCAAATAACCGCGAAAACTGTATAATATTTTAAATGATATACTAATCTCATCGAATACGAAGTAAGCTCATTAGAAGTTCTTCCTTTCATATGATAAAGATATGCTTGATTATTATAATTAATCTAAGGAGTGGCGTGACCAAAGTGTCCGATGGA